GCAACAACTCATTGTGCTGTGAATTAAGTGAGCCAGAAAGCCAAACTTGCATGTAACAGATTAAAACTATAAACTACGAACTATGTCTGAAACTTAAAGGGACACGATTTTATTTCCAAATTATTGATAAAACCAAAAAGATTAACGTGGACCACGGGTTCAGTCAGCTACACTCTCTTCTGTCAGCACATATCACCATAGGAGATTGATTTAGTGTTATGTGTTCAGTAGAGGGGCCATAACAGAGGGCAAGAACAGTTCTATGGGGCACTGGCCCCTGTGGGCCCCTTTATAAAACCATAGTTTTATCTATTCTGATCACAACACAAGCATAGGCATAAATTAATTTATGTTATGGAGAATAAGCTTTCAGTCCACCGCCTTGGTTCCTTTGGGTGTGGAAGCTGCGTGTACGCGCCACTGAGGAGCCGCTGCTGCAGAGGAGCAAATTTAAATAGTGAAGAGATAAACAAGCAGAGTGTTTATTTAACTGAACCTACCAGTGTCTTGCATGCCTGCTCCTTGTTTAATCACCATATGTATTTTCTCTCCATCATAGGTTAATGAGTTCAAATATTTAGTTTTTTAAGTTACTCTTCCGATTTAATGTCCATATCTATTACCGCTGTTGATTAACTGTATGAACATGATTTTATTACAAAAACCTGGTTAATGTAGTCTTTTATTTGTAAACTCAACTGACTCCTATTTGTAGGGGAGTGTTGTCTAGTGGTTAAAGTAGTGCGCTTGTGCTCTAAAAAGGATGCAAGTACCCAGTTCAATCCGCACAGTCTCCACTCTGGCTCTCTGAGTGAAGGCCCTGAATCCCACAATGATCCCCAGGCGCCGCACAATGGCAGCCCACGGCTCCCCAAGGGGATGGACTAAATGCACACTGCAAAAACGTCTTAAATTAAGTGTATTTACCCTTAATTTGAGCAGGTAAATAAGATTATCTGCCAATGGAATGAGCATTTCTACTCTTAAAATAATATAATTAAATATTATTCACTTGAAATAAGAGACTGCTGTTGTTTTTTTCTCATTTTAAATGTAAATTGCTTTATTCCATAGGCAAGGTACCAGTATATCAGTTAACTTCTTAATTCAAGAAAATAATTACTTAGATTTAAATTTTTTTTGCACAATTTTTTAAGTTATGAGATCAATAAAAATAAATTATAAAAAATTTGTATTGTTTTTCATTAAACTGACTTCCTGCCTGAATAACTGATCTGCTCCAGATTGAAGTTGATTTGAAGCGGCTAAAACTGCTCAAACTTTTTTACCTCCAGGTTCCCCTGCAGGTGGAAGCAGCATGTTTGCTTCACGATGCGGCTCTGCTGGGCGGCCGCAGCTGATCGCAGCGCCTCTAATCAATCGCA